ACATAGTTTATAGTTTTCATCCACCATCACTCATTCTGTCCTAAAAAAAGTCTCATTATTGGCATTTAATTCTGCACAAAAAATTAAATATATTCTAAAAATAACTTTGGAAAATCACGATCTTTCAAATGGACTGGTAGAAAAAGAATTTTTTTAAAAAAGCGTTTTGAAAAATGTGCAAGGATATATGAGTCAAGAACTACAAATGTTTTTCTCACAACAATTTTACTCGCTTAAGGGACTTCAAAATATTGCTACTCTAATACGTATCCCAAGAAATCGCTCAATTGCCAAAAAATAGGGTCCTACCTTCGAGGAGCTTTCGAAATATTTCCAATAACTGAATCAAAAGTCTTTGTGCAAACACACATGGAAGCTAGGATTTTTAATTAAGGGTCTTTGCTGCAAAACTACTGAGATTTGTCCCGAAAGTTGATATGAGTGTTTGGCTTGAATTCCATCATTTCCGGCGAAATACCAGCAGAAAATGCACAATCTGCCAGCAGGTAGTTAATGATATACACAAGTATGTTCCGTACTCAGATCGGTACGGACAAAGACAGAGGAGACTGCATGGCTATTTCTGACTTATCAGTTGTCATTAGGTATCCGCACAGCTCTTATTTGTATTCGTCGGTAGCTTATTGACCGAATATAACACAGGCCACTATGCGACTGCCCGCAAAGGCTCTATATTTAGCCCAAAGGCACAACTGGCCGAGCATGTTCCATAGCATTATCCGTGAGCGTCAGTAAATCATACACACATATACCTAGAAGAGGACCATTGCCAAAGGCAAGGAACACACGCATAAATGTTTCTGGTTTATTGGCCGTCATCAGCCAGCCACGTATAATTACAACTTTGCCGCCATTCGTCTCGAACCCTTGTACCATTGGCTAGAAATGAAACGCCCTGAGCACTGAGTCACGGGCTCGTTGTTCTGTTGATTGCAATCGAGTATGTTAACTGAGCCTTCTCCACAACAACATATATGCGTATATTTACTATACCTCTGGGAGTAGTACTCAGCTTGTCCCCAAGCCTGTGCCCAAGATTCTCTATTAATTTCTAATGAATTTAAAGGCGTCACATTGAAACAAACACTTGCTTTATACGAAAAAGCGTCTGGTGAACGCTGGAGGTCTACGGGTGAGTATTACCGCGATATAAAATCAACGAAAGACGTGCCCTTAGTTTCCTTAGCGTAAGTATCTTAAATCAGTGAGTGCGTATCGTGTTATTATGAGAAATGATCGGAACGATATTGGAGAATCTAACATGTTTCTTAAAAATACGCCATTTCTTCCGAAATTATAG